AATTCTGGAGTAATTCGTAAAAAAAAAAGGGATTTCGCAGTTCACATGTCTATGAGTAAAGAGATGTCAATATCAAAATTACTGAATTGTCTATTTATTTAACACCAAATGGACAGAATAACAAATGAGGGACTAAATTGAGCAAAAACACAAAAATCTGGGACTAAATTGAGCGAAACACAAAAGTCTGGGACGATATTAGGTCACCAAAGTCGTTTAGGACGAAATTGAGAAAAACCACTATAGTCGAGGACGATTTTGGGTATTAACTCGTTTTAAAAATCACAAACTTGTGTTCAGCTTCATCTTTTGATCCCAAGAGGTATAGTTTTGTAAAACGAGAATAGTCATCTATAAAAGTTATATAATACCGTTTTCCACCTTTACTTTCAGTGGTTTTAAAATCCGCTAGGTCAGAGTGAATCAATTCAAGCACAGAGGAAGATCTATGAGTTACAGCAAAAAAGGGCTTCCTAGCAAATTTTACTTCAGCACAAGTTTCACATTGGGAGCATGCATCATTAGACAAGTTTGGCAATATATTTAGGCTTTTTAATCTATTTAAGCACTTTGAGCCAACGTGTCTTAATCTACCATGCCACAAATTAACTGAAACAGTAATATAAGCCGAAGGGGAAGCATTATTCTTATTGATAGATTCTGGTCCAATTATAGATATGTCTAACATAAATATCCCCCCCCCCCCCCCCCCCCCCCCCGTAGATACCCTTTTCCGAGAAAAGTCCCACATCGAGTCATAACCAAGCGGTCTGACTCAAGGACAATTTTGATCCCGGCCTTATTAAGTAGGCCCCTGGAAATTAAGTTTCTACGCAGAGAGGGAACATACAACACATTGTTCAGTAATAACTTCTTGCCAGAATTAAGCAGTAACTCTACTTTTCCTCTACCACTTACCTTAGAAATGCTGGAGTTCCCCATGAAGACTAGTTCTCCTCCAGTAACGGGCTCGAACACCTTGAAAAATGACTTGTTGTTGCAGAAGTGACGAGATGCCCCCGTGTCCACGACCCACTCGTTTGGGTCTCCGACCATGTTAATCTCAGTAATCACCACTGCTACGGCCTCGTCATTCTCCGTGGTTTCTACCACATGTGCTTGATTTTTGGATCCGTCATTCTCTGATTTTTTATTTTTGGACCCTTTACGATGATAGCACTGTGCTGCTTGGTGTCCCCGTTTCCCACAAACATAGCACTCGTCGCCCTTGCCTTTTTTCTGAATTTTTCCATTTTTGATGCAATTGTTACTATTTTTCGCATTCTTTTTTTGATTTTTATTTTGATCACCTGTTTTATTACTATCATACTTTCCTGTAGTTTCAACAACGTTAGCTTTTGAATTATTAGAAAAGGATTTAGACTTTTGTACTGTGTGATTTTCCTCTTCAATGTTGATGCTACCGATCAGTTGTTAGAGGGTGTAGTCGCGTTGCTCGTGTTTCATTTTACTCTTGAAGTCCACCCACGAATTAGGAAACTTATCAACGAGTGCATCGCACAGGAACGCATCGTTGACTTCAGCACTTTCAGTTCGCATATTTGAAATCATATTGTCGAATTCATGTACCTGTTCCACCACGGTTTTGGATTCGGTCATCTGAAAATGCAGCCATCGTCCCACGACGTACTTCCTCCTACTGGTGTCATCGGAGCCATACTTTCCTTGTAATAGTCCCCAGATAGCTTTTTTGCAGATTTTTCTCCAGAAAACATGTCAAAAATCGAATTTGTTACCCGTTGAAGAATTGAGGCTCACGCAGTTTTGTTGTCTTTCACATACTTTGGACAGACCTGCGGCGTGCTTCGTACAGGACTCGGCGGAGGTAGGCTTGGAATAAAGCTTGCGCAGCGCAGAACCGGAACAAGTGGAGGTAGGCCTGTGTCGTGTTCAGTGGAACACTATCTTAAAGATATTTAACGACCAGGGTATCGTTATATGTTCGATAGATAGCACAGACGGGAAGAAATTAGCATAAGAACATAGGGATGGTGTTTCGTGTGTATAGCTGGATGGTGTTTCGTGTGTATAGTTGTAATGCCGTGATTCTGTAATCAAGAATGAAGAATACATTGCTATTTATAGCATCTTACATCCTATTACAGCCAATGCACAAACATAGCTCATGCATGGTCCTAATTGGGGCTGCAAATGAGCCGAGCGGCTCGCAAGCGGTTCGGGAGCCGCTCGGTCAAAGCACGGATCGCGCCCGGTCAATTCGAGCACGAGCCGGCTCGTTAGACAAACGAGCCGGCTCGTTAGACAAACGAGCCGAGCTCGAGCTCATATGTTATATGCTCATGGCTCGTCGAGCTGGCTCGCGAGCCATAAGTAAATAAATAATATTATATATATAATATAATATAATATATTAATATGTATACTTAAATTCTTAATGTCAAACCCTAAAGGCCTAAAGACAAAAATCCCAAATTATTCTGATTCTCGCTTCTCGCTTCTCGCCCTCTCGCTTCTCGATTCTCTAAAGAGTCGCCGGCTTCCTCTCACAGCCACCGCCGGCGACGTTGCAGCCGAACGCCCGAACCCAAGTCCACCGCTGCCGCTAGCTCTCAGCTCTCTGCCTCTCTGGACTCCCTCAGGCGCGGCTCTCGTGACTGCTGCTTCCGGTTCCGTCTCGTAGCCACCGCCGGTGACGCAGCAGCCAAGCACCACTCCGCCGCCTCCGGCGACGGTCCGGCACTCCGGCACCTCCTTCTGCTACTTCCAGGCCGAACTGCCGAAACTTGCTGAGTTAGTGCAAAGTGCAAACTGTGAGGTAATTAATTTTGTTTTAAGCTTAGTATGTTTATATTTTCTGCCTAAGATACTTACTGACTACTGAGTATGTTTCTAATTAAATATTTAAATTAGGGATTAGAATATGTTTCTGCTTATTTTGTGCCTTAGGGATTAAGAATATATTTCTGCTTAACTAACTTGGGATGCAAATTTCTATACTTTGACATAGGACACCATGGTGTGTTGATACTTTTCACTTGGCTGATTTCAGATTTCAGATTTGATACAAATTTACAGATTTCAGATTTGATAAATTTAAAACATTAAAACATTGAAACATTTGAACATGATGAAAGAATGCTCAGATTACTTGTTTGAACTAGAACTCCAATTTGTTTGGAATCAATGGACTATAACATGTAACATAAACAGCGAAATGAAGTAATCATTAATTATTAAGAATGTAAAGATGTCTGCTTAACTAACTTGGGATGCAAATTTCTATACTTTGACATAGGACAAGCAATGGGATTGATCCTTCTAGTAAGATAATTGGAGTATAAAGTTGTTAGGGTATCAAGAGTGCAATTAAGAAAACAGATGAAAGCCTAGGACAATTCCATAACTAGAAGCCTGTAAGAGAAAATAAATATGGAATAAAATGTGCTAATTTCTGTTTAGAATAGATGTTAATTGCAACTAAAATCCTTCTGTGTTTAGAATAGATGTTAATTGTATGTACATTTAGAATTGTCTTTTGTTCACTCACATTCCTTCTATGTTTCATTAATCTTTAAATAGATGTTAATTGCAACTAAAATCTTAACCAAATTTCAAATTAATTAAACAAGTTATTGATTTTATTATTGTTTTCCATTAGTTATGTCTACCGAGAATTCATCTATCCCGCAAAATCTACCTACTTCAAGCAGTATGGTTGGTGAAAGTAATGAAGTGCGACAAACTGAAGGAATAGAATTAGATTTAGGTGATCATGATACACCCAAAAATGAAGATGTAGAACAACAATTAGATTTTCAAACAAACAAGAGGAAAAAAACCTCAAGTGTGTGGGTTGATTTTGAAGTGATCAATGTAGATAGAATAAAGAAGGTAAAGTGCAATCATTGTCATCATCACTTTGCATTGACTAAAACTGGAACGACAACTAGCTACAAGAGGCATCAAGAGAAATGTGTTAAGAGAAAGGCAAACTTACAGGTAACTATTTAATTCTCATTAGCTTAAATGTTAGCTAGATGGAAATAAATTTATAGTAATTGACTAATTGTATTGGTTTTGCAGGTGGTTGATCAACAAACTAAGTTGAATTTTTTGCCTAGTGATGGAGTTTGATCTTCCCTTCCGCCATTACATCATGGGAAGTTTGACATGGAAGTAATGAGAGAGTCTGCGGCTCATTGGATCATGATGCATGAGCACCCATTTAACATTTTGGAGGAAGTAGGATTTAACATCATGATGAAACGAGGAATGCCAGAGTGGAGAAAGATTAGTAGAAGCACAAACAAATCAGACTATTTGAAGGTTTATGAACTTGAAAAGAAAAAGTTGAACCACAATCTTGAATCCGTTAGCAAAGTAAGTTTGACAACGGATTGTTGGAAATCAAAAAACCAAAAGATTGAGTACATGGTTGTGACTGGCCACTGGATTGATTCTAGTTGGAAATTGCAGAAGAGAGTTTTAAGCTTTATCAATATTCCACCACCGGGGGGGGGGGGGGGGGGGGTCTGCAGATATGTGATGCTATATTTAGGTGCATGAAAGATTGGGGAATTGAAAAGAAGGTTTTTACAATTACGGTTGATAATGCTACTAGTAATGATTCTGCAATTCGGTACATGAAGGATACACTTCAAAGATCAAGAAGTTGGGTATGTGGAGGTCGTTTATTTCATGTTCGATGTTGTGCACACATTTTGAACTTGTGTGTTCAAGATGGATTAGATGAGATTCGACATGTCATTAGGGATGTTAGAGATAGTGTCGAATATGTGAACCGATCGGAGGCAAGACATATACAGTTTGCAGATTGTGTGCAGCAATTACAGTTGAAAGATAGAAAATTGATCCGTGATTGTAAAACAAGATGGAACTCGACTTTTGAGATGCTAAGTTGTGCACTCAAGTTTAAAGAAGCGTTTAAGATGTTAAATGATCATGATCCATTCTTCGACAGTTGTCCGTTAGAAGATGATTGGGTTAAAGTTACCAAGGTTTGCTCTATTTTAGATGCTTTCTGGATAGCTACTCACATTATTTCAGGTTTGTTTCTTTTAACTTGTTTCTTCAAATTTGTTTTAGATTGTGACTTGTGAGTATCTGAATTCAAATTTGTTTCAGGTTGTGAGTACCCTACTTCAAATTTATTTCTTCAAGAAGTTCAGAAAATCAAATCAGCCTTGGATAGTCATGCAAATGATGAGGATTCCTTCATTAAGGATTTGGTTGGGAAAATGAAAATGAAGTTTGATAAATATTGGGGTGAGTGTAATTTGTTGATGGCTATAGGTGCTGTTTTTTATCCAACAAAGAAGATGTTTGCTGTTGAGTTTTGTTTTCCTAGACTGTATTCTGATATTGAAGCTAAGGAAAACATTTCAAAAGTGAAAGAGATCATCAATACTCTTTATGAAGAGTATGTTGCTGAAGCAATGAACAAAGGCATTTCTAAAAATTTAGGTTCTTCTACAACTTTTGGGAGCCAAGTAAGCCGTCAAAGTTCTACATACGATTGGGATGATTTTGATGATTATTGTGCTCAAGTTGAAACTTCAGAGCCTAAGAAATCAGAGTTAGCAGACTATCTTGAAAAAGGCCGTCTTAAGAAAAGTGAGACTGCTGCAGACTTTTCTGGTTTGGATTGGTAGAAGATGAATAGAATGCACTATCCAATATTGGCAAGAATCGCAACAGATATCTTAGCTATACCTGTTAGCACGGTGGCTTCAGAAGCAACGTTTAGTGCGGGGACACGAGTAATTGATTCTTATCGTGCATCATTGCTGCCGGAAATAGTACAAGCTTTACTCTGTGGGGGTGATTGGCTTCGACATATACACGGAGTTACCAAAAACAAAGTAAGTTAATTTTTAATTTATAACTTTTATGTTAAATGATGCATTGCCTTTTAAAAATATTTGTTTAATTACATGTTAATTTATCTTCTTTTTTTTTTTTTTCAGAAAGAGAAATCGTATCAAGAAATTCATCTTCCTGTATCCAACCCATGAAAGTAAGTTACACACTTTATCTTCCAGTATCCAACTCATGAGTAACATCTCAATTAAAATCTATATATTGATCATTTACAGCTTTTATATATTTAGTTAGTGTGTTTAAGATCTAAAGATTTGCAGGTTATGTTAGAATGATTGTTCCTAATCTTTTTTGACGGGGCGTTGTTGCTGGAAAGAGTGAAGATTGAAAAGCATGGCGAGTGTGAAGTTGATGTTAAGTTCTTTAACTTGTATTGAATTGATGTGAAGTTGTTTAATCTGTTTGTATTTTGTAATGTTGTTGTAGACTTCTACTTTAGATTTGAAGCTGTAGACTTGTGTGGAGAGCTTTGTTTTGGACTTTGATTTTTTTTTTTTTTTTTTTTTTTTGAGTTCTGATTCAGCATGTATTAAATAGGTCAAAATAAGTGCTTGAATTCAAGCTCGAATTCGAGCACATGTTCGCAAACTCGAATCCAAGTCGAGCAGCTCGAGCTCGAGCTCGAACAAACGAGTAACTCGAGCCGAGCTCGAGCGGCTCAACATTGTGACGAGCTCGCGCTCGAGCCCCATTTCCGAGCTCGAGCTCCCCTCTAACAACTCGAGCTCGAGCTCGGCTCGGCTCGTTAGCAACCCTAGTCCTAATGTGCGAAAACAGTGTTGACCACATGATCTAGCTCATGCATGGTCCTAATGTGCGAAAACAGTGCTGACCACATGATCTATTCGAACATTATTTGTGTTGATCCATAAAAATAGCATAGCACAAAAGAGGACCGAGCAAAACTATTCCACACAACACCTCGCACGCGTGCCGAATGGGCAGGCAGCGCATGCAGGTTTTCCCCTTGTTCCCTCTCCATAACACTTCAAGCTTTCTCTAGGGAGTTCAAGTATATAAGGGAAGGAAAGGAAAGCTAGCAAATCAATGTGGGACACTCACTTTAATCAAATGATCATTAAATGGGTTCCCACTTGAAGCCTTTGCTTTGAATGTTTCCCAACAGCCTTCTCACCGGAGAAGGCAGCCTTTGCTTTGAATGTTTCCCAACAGCCTTCTCACCGGAGAAGGCAGCTGGGTCGCCTTCTCTAGTGAGAAGGCGACCCACTGGGCTGCTTTCTCACCGGAGAAGGTGATGTTTAGTTTTTAGTTTTTAGTATTTTTTTTAATGTTTTAATTAATTAAATTTTGAATTGACAAATTATTAATTGCATGTTTGACTAGGTGGTGCAAATAGCAAAATGTACCCCCATTTGACTATTTACACCACCTATTAATTAATAAAAGTTTTCACCTTTTTACAATTTCAAGATGTTTTATACCCACTTTTGGTCAAAGGGGGTGCAAATAGCAACACCCTTTGATAATGATTTATTATTGAAACTTTGAAACTAACCAATGACATGAATTTGTAATACTCTTGAGAAAAAATAACACTTTTTAGAAAAAAAAATGTAAAAAAAATTGTCAAATTGGCCACCCTAAGTCAATCATATAGTGAAATTATGTGAGCTTTTTGCGGAAAGGACATTGATCTTATTCTCAAAGTTCCCAATGCTATTGATTTCCCAGATAAATGGATATGGAAGGATGACAGGTTTTTATTATGTTAATCATGGTTATAGACAACTTATGAATGACACGGCTGGTGATGGTCTCTTCTTCTTAGTCTAGTCTCAAGTATGAAGGTTAAAGATTCCTCCTAAATATCAAAATTTTATATGGTGTTGTACTCGCGTCATTCTTCCTGTTCATTGTGCATTGCGTGGTAGGGGTTTAGACATTGATGACCTCGTCCCTTTTGTGAGAATAATCAGGAGATGGATGCAACTTGTTTTTGTCGATTTTTTAGGGCTTGATGCCTATTCCAGGTATTACTGAGTTCTTGGCTTGAGTATTTTTGGTCTTTGAAGTTGAAATGAATGATAGGAAAATCAAAGTTATTGCTATGCTTTGGGAGATTTGGAAAGCTGGTAACGAGCTGGTTTTGAGTAACAGCCTCATCTTCACCAACCCATGCATGCCGATGGCTATGGCGTGATCTGTCAAGTTGACGCTAGTGTTTATTCGGAGTGTGGAGAAGCATATTATGAAGTCATAATCCTTAATCAGAATATGGAGTTTGTTGTTGCGAAGAGAGGGGCCTTACGTTGTTTTGATGATCCCACACAGTAGAAGCCTTAGCATTAAAAGAAGTTTTTTCTTGGATGATTGAAGGTGGTTAGCGGCATGTTAAGGTGGAGATGGATTGTCACAATGTTCGTCAGCTTCTCAATAAGCCATTTCCTGACCATTCTTATGCAGGTTGCATTATCTCAAGTTGTCGATCTCTTACATGTTAGGCACTTTGAGCCAGTGTTATTCCGCTCGTGCGTCCATCAACGAATTTGTTAGCCCACTCCCTAGCCAGGGCGACGAATTCTTAGGTTGTTTCCTTTATTTGGTTATGTATTGTACCTCCTTGTATCTAACACTTGTTTCCTCTTTAATATATTTATATGTTTTTATTTTTAAAGAAAAACAAATACATCTCTTTCACTTGAAATAATGTGACCATTTGATAGTTTGAATCAATTCCAAATGGTCATGTCAGTTCATAAGTCACAGGGATTGGATACAAAAATTAGGAGTAGGATGAAAATGTGGTTAATAGATCAAATTGATAAATTTTGGTTAATTATTTTTTAATCGAAATATTTCGGTTCAGTTAATGGTTAAGAATTAAAAAAAAAAAAGTTAACAGTGAATTCAATTTGAAAGTGTCAGTTAACTGAATTGTGTATACATATACATGTTTAAATTGTTATGATTCATATACGATACAATTAGACTAGTTTTTCTATTTTTATTCCTTATACTAGTTATCACACCTGCATTGCGCAAATAGTCCAATGTCCAATGTGTATTTTTAAATTAGTGTTTAAGAATTTATCAAAGTATTATTTGGTATCCTAACATTTATCAATGCAAGATTATAAAATTTGTCATAAAAGTAAATATTTCAAGAATGCATAACTATATATGACCTGTGGCATAATTTTTCATAAAATTAACTGGTGTAATTGGTAAGTACTTATGTTAGAGAAAAGAACAATGAGGTATTTTTATTGACTAGAAACTGAAATAAAGAAAAAGGAAGTCACAAGACTTTCCCCAACAAGAGTTTTAGGCTCTTACCCCACAAGAGTTTTAGGCTCTTGCCCAGCTACTAAAGCTTAAAGACTAAGGATACACTTTGGATAGTTCTCTCATCTAAAGATTCTAATTTATAGTGTCAGGAAATAAATAATTATAGAAAAGGAGATGATTGTTGATATGATTGTGCCTTTGATTTATTCTTGTCAAATCCCTTGAGTTAAACCTTTCTTTGTGTATTCTGATTTTCCTGATTTTCTTAATTCTATTTTTTGAGTGAACTATCCCTTCGTATCATTGCCGCCCACCAAAAACACAGCCTTGTCCCTAATGCTAGAGTGGAAAGATTGCCTTATATTGTCCGATGTCGATTTGGTCAGTTACACCAGGCTCGTTGCTCGTTTCGTCCTCATCATCCTCTGTTGGAATTACTGTTCGCAAGGATTTATTCGGGCATATATAAACGAACTGTACAGTTGCTGACAACGGAAACAAAGTCCTTTGGCGTGCATTTTCAAATACTCTTTGTTAGAATAATGTCGTGCTGAAATTGCGTACTGAAGACTGCGTAGCAGGAAACACATGTTGTGTTTGGGAGGATAAGAGAGATGCTTGATTGCTACTAGAGAATTGAGATTGGGTTAGAATGGGTTTGGGCTGTGAATAATTCAAAAAAGAATTGTGTTGGTAATTCTTCCTAGGCCCATTAGACCAAGTACACCCATTATGTGAAGGAATTATCTGGAGCGCTGCATTTACTTCTTGCAGATTGCATCCAAGGAGCCGGCCTGTGGAGAGAAATTCAATTTCTCGTTTTGCAGCGCGAGCGACACGCATTGTTGTTCGGAGGTCTGTCACATCATTCGGTCAGAGCCGCACCCTAATTGCATGTTTCATGCCATTCAGAAAAAACCCTTATTGAATGTTAGGCCTGGAATCTGGGCAACACGAGCTCTAAATGTATTGGCAAATTCATCAACAGTTCTCGTTTGGCACATCGGGGCTAATTGTTCGATCGGAGGCCCAAAAAGTTCACCACAAAATTCTTCCAAAAGTTCTGCTGTGAACTGACTTTTGGAATTTTTTTTTTTTAGCTAAAATGATATTTTTGAGTGGCTATTTTGTGGTACAAATATAAGTGGGGTTCACTTCCGATTTGGGTCGGGCCAAAGTGGATTTGCATTCTTTGTAGTGAGATGAAGAATTTGATATATTGTACGCTCAAATTGGGTAATAAATGAATGAGAAATGATTCTCAAAATGAACCTATGAGAGAAGTCTAAATTCGATTCGTGCTAATTTTGGTAGCACTCACGAATGGATAACTAATCATTTGATGCTTTCAACACTAAGTAGTGCTTAATGAAGCACTTGTTGGTGCTTTAAAAACAAGTACGATTCGTGCTTTGTTAATTAGCACCGAGTGCTTATAAGCACGAGGTGATGGTGCTTTGACGCACCAAATCGGTGCTAAATAATTAGCAACGAGTTGTTGGTGCTTATTTAAGCACCGAGTGGTGCTTTAATTTCGGATGCTTCGGTTAGCTCAGAATCGTTAACCTTTCATATGTACAGACTTCTCGGTCACGTATTTTGAAATAGGTCATTATGGCCGGTACGAATTAATTGTATATTAATTCTGTAATCGTTGATATTATTTCGATAATAAGTATGATTGTTTCAAACATTATTATCTAATTATTAAATTGGATTTATGTTGGTTTATGTGCCATGATTGTGCTTTTAATTCCCTTCTCCTATAAAAAGCTTGGACGTTGACAGATTGTTTTAAAAGCCAATTTTAGAACTCTCAAAACTCTTTTTGGTTTTTCTCTCCACTCTCAACTCTTTGCTACGGAGAAAAATTTCTGTCAACATCTTCTGTAAATTCGTACGGAGTGCTCAGCTTGTGTCCTAGCTCGCCAGGCCTTGAGTTTGAGTGCTTGAACACCAAAGTCGTAGTCCGTTTTATCCTGAGAGACTGACGCCACAACGCTCCTAGCACCCTCGGGAGGTGGCAAATCGATTTTAAGGAGAGTGTGTGTACACACGACTCGGATTTTCTTTCTTCTTATGTTGGGTTAAAAGCTCGGGTTAGAAACCTT